ACCGCCGCCGCGGCCGCTGCAGATTTCCTGGCAAGGAGCAAACTCTGGCTAAGACTTCACTCCTCAACCGCCCCTGCTGCCTTCCCGGGGGAAAAACGCCAGGGCCCCGCCGCCCAACCCGACACGCACCTGAACCAATTGGCGGCAGAACAGGGCGGGAGAGGGCGGGACAGGGAGAGGATCCGCCTATCCGAGGGCTCAGGGGGCGGGTCCGGCCAGAGCCGTCACTCCCGAGTTAGAGTGAGCCCGCTGCGCCCCGCGCCGCCTACCCTCCCCCACCCGCTCTCGCCCGAGTTCTCCGGCTTACCTGGTTTAAGACGGGCTCCGGACTATCCGAGGCCCCGAGGGGCACTGGGTAGCGCGGGGAGGCAGTGACTGTCTAGGGGCATTCAGGAAGAACAGGTGGCACAGGGAAGCAGGAACGTAGGTGTGCTGGGCGAAAGGACAGCTGGGGTAGGGTGGTACGGACAGGGGTTGGCCGGAAGGAGGAGGAGGGCGAGGCGGGCAGGAGAGCGGGGAAGGGAAGACTGTTCGTGAAGATTAACTGAGGGGACGGAGAGCGAGTCTGGCTGGAAAGGTTGCCGAGGCGGGGGAGGGGGAGCCTGAGAACAAAGGTGAAGGGGTTGAAGAAGCCAAAAGGGGAAAGGAAGTCCCAGGAGAGGGAGCACGTACTCCAGGGGTCGAACAGATCCTAGGGGAGAAAGCAGGGGAGGGGAAAGTTTCCTTCCAAACTCCCACTTCCCCCCCTAGAGAGCAAGACAGACGCTCGTCCTTTGACCCAGCTGAACTGTGTGAAGATCCTGGGTCGGACAACTACCGTCTTGACCCTACCCTATTCTACTGGGAAATTTATTAAGATGTGTTATCAGCTATAGTTTAAGCCTGACGTTCCATGAAAGCCCCCCAGGGGCTGGGGTCCTGCGCGAGCGTAACACCGTCCCCCGTGGGTGCAGCAGCGAGTCAAAAAGAAGCCGGATTTGGGCCCTAAGTGGGAAGGTGATTTGGGGGAGGCAGGCGGGCCGCGCCCCCTTCGCCCACACCTGGGGTAGGGCGCCCGGGGCTGAGCTCCAGCGCCCACAGCGCCGTCTCGGCCTCGGGGGGGGCGGGAGCGCGCCTTTTTTCTGCGTCTAGGCCCGTCTGGGAAGGCCGGGGCGAGAGAGGGAGGAATGGGCGCCTGGGCGGGAGAGAGGGCTCCGGCTGGGAAAAGAGAGGAGTCAGGCATGTGTTTGAATAGAAACGCTCAGAACACTAGAGACGAAGGAGGGAAGGCAAGTTGTGGGAAATCCCCAGACTGCTCGTCCCCGGTTAGGACAGCCGGGGTCAATCGGCCAACGTGTGAAATCACACGCCGGGCCTCCGTCCCGGTGCCGTGGCCCAGCTCCCTCCTCTGCTCCGAGTTCTCCTTCTCCCCCCTGCCTGATCGACTCTTCTCAGACCTCCCGAGCTAGTTTCCGTACCTCCTCCAAATGGAAGCCACAGTTAGGCCTGCAGGGTCATCATCCATAGCCTCTAATCTTATAATAATCTGTGTTCCTCTACGCCTTCCAACTCCCTTTTCGTTCTCTTGCAAGGCTACCCTATTCTAAACCTATCCTTGTGATTCTAGCAAAAGAATATTTTAGCAAACATTTAAGTTTGTGTTTTAAGAAAACTCCCCTGTGGCCACGTAGATGGTCAAATGGAGTAGGGAGAAACTGGGGGCAATAAATTAGGTATTTATTGATAGAATATGTGGAGGCAGGAAAATAAAGGGCTAATGTTAATAGTTTTATGTAGTTGGAGTGCATCGAGTATTAATGTGTTGCAATTGTGATATAGTAAATGAAAAAAAAAAGCTAGTTATAAAACCATATTCAGTATGATCTCATTTTTATAAAAAATATGTATGTAGAAAAATGTCTGGATTGAAGACCTCAATGGCTGAAGGCGAGAGGAAGACAGCTCTGGAAATGGTTCAGGCAGCTGGAACAGATAGACACTGTGTGACATTTGTTTTGCACGAGGAGGACCATACCCTAGGAAATTCTCTCCGTTACATGATCATGAAGAACCCAGAAGTGGAATTTTGTGGTTACACTACAACCCATCCTTCAGAGAGTAAAATTAATTTACGAATTCAGACTCGAGGTGCTCTTCCAGCTGTTGAGCCATTTCAGAGAGGCCTGAATGAGCTCCTGAATGTCTGCCAACATGTGCTTGACAAGTTTGAGGCCAGCATAAAGGAATATAAGGACCAAAAAGCAAGCAGAAATGAATCCACATTCTAGTCCCTGTGCACTATAGAGGGAGGAACATCCTCTGGGATATTTTCTTCGTGATCTTGCAAAACCCAGAAATAGAAGTTTATGATTACAACATGATCTGCTCTTCAGAAAGGTGTGATTCTAGCTATTAACTCATTACAGCTGTGGGAATCCCTGCAAGAACCTTTGTATTCTAATAAATTCCCTCTTTAAACTAATTTGAGTGGTTTCTGTTCCTTGGTCCTCAAGGTTGACTATTTTGGGGTTTTTTTATTAATTGAGCCAACATGGAAAGTGATGAAACTATGAGAAAAGCAGGGGCCTAAACAAGGACTTTTTAAAAAGGGAAGTAAAAGAAATAACCATTCATGGCTGTGATTGGGGGAGAGGGAGATGTGCAGTAAAGCATGACCCCAGATAGACTAATTTTGGGGGGTGGGGTGGGCAGTCTGGGAGGGGGAAGCAGGAAAGAAAGATGGAAGTAGGGGAGAACTTGGCTTCTTCATGTATTTTAGTAATTCATAAGAAAATTCTTACTTTGCTGTGATTGGTAGATTGGGTAAGGGTGGGGAATAATTTGAAAAAACAGAATTCTGGTTTCACATAGAATTGAATTTTAGGTAGTATCAAGCTCCATCACTATATTTATAGGATAGATACCAGTTTACTGCTTTATTTTGACCTAAGTAGTTCAAGAGAGTTTAATTCTATTAGAGAGGGAGGTTACTGGGATAACCAGATAACTTTTTCAGTCCTTAGGTATCTTAAGAATAGCCCATGGTTACATAAAAGAAGCAGTATTTGAAAGAAAGTAAGGACAGGAAGAAAGAAAATTCCATGTGGCCAAAATGATTGATTTTTTTTTTAAAATAAGATATTAGTGAATCACATCTAAGAGCTGTCCTATTTATCTCTTCAAACTTGATTCATACCTATCCTACACCAACTTGATTCATAATTTACCTTAAATGTCTGAAACCTTTGAACCTGAGCACCCCACACCCCAGTACTCCCAGCATTGTTCCCTCTTCCTGGAGGATTCTTACTTCTGCCATACTGTAGTGTAGGTGAGAACTTAGATTAAGACTCCCCATCCTGGTTTGGGTACTTGCCTGTGCTTTCATTATACTCTGTTTCCTGGTCTTGGATTTACTATGTGACTGTTAGTGCTTATGTTGTCTACCATTATACCAACTTGTAGCACAATGCCTAATAGGTAGTGGACCATTAGTAAATACCAGATGAATTCATGTATATGTAGACTTTTATTCACTCATATCATACCTCTTCTACTGACCTGCTACAGAATCTGCATTTTCTACATACAACTTCTTTAGATAAATATTTTTGTTTTTATTGATCACCTAGCATATACCAGGTCCTAGGATAGATATGCTAGTGGATGAGACACAGGTCTTATGAAGTATACATTATAAAAGGAGTACAAAAAACTTATATTGTATTTGTGGGGATGTTGGGGGAGAAAGAGAACATGAGAGGAGATTCTACTTTAGGTGTGGAAGTCAGTGAAGATCTTCCAGAAATTACAGAACAGAAGGAACTAGCCGTGCAAAAAGGAGAGAAAATGCATTCTGGGGGAATAGTATGTACAAAAGTCCAGAAGCTGAAAACTGGTGTTTTGAGGGGTTAAATGTATTGAAAGAAGATTTATATATCTGTAGCATGGTAAGTAAGGAGGACAAGAGCCTATCCCAGCCGTGGGCAAACTACGGCCCACGGGCCGGATCCAGCCCGTTTGAAATGAATAAAACAAAACAAAAAGACCCTACTCTTTTATGTAATGGTGTTTACTTTGAATTTATATTAGTTCACACACACACTCCATCCATGCTTTTGTTCCGGCCCTCCGGTCCAGTTTAAGAACCCATTGTGGCCCTCGAGTCAAAAAGTTTGCCCACCCCTGGCCTATCCTATGGGTTCAATGGGAAGAAAGGCTGGGGTAGTAAGGAGTTGGGTGTTAAGTACAACGGGAATGACCTCTGAATTCTTTGATTACAAAGTGGGGAAATGAATTTGTAGAGGCCAGAGTAGAAGCAGAAACTTTGGTGTGGCCTGGAAGGGCAGTAACCTAGTGATAGAGAAAAGAGGGTAGATTGGAGATGTATTTTTGAACCAAATTTGTACAGAATTGGTAGACCTCAGGAATTGGATGTAGAAAGATGACTTCTACCTAGATTTGGGGCCAAATTACTGAAATGGGAAGCTTAAGAGGGAAAATAGGTTCGGAGGTGGAGAAGATGATTAAACTCAAAAGTTCCATTCTGAACATGGTAGATAGTAGATATGTGAGTTAGAAGCTGTGAAAGAGATCTAATGAAGCTAGAGATTTACCTAGTGAGTTCTTGCCATAAAGATGTCGCAAATCCATAAAAGCTTGAGTGTGGGAAGAAGAGGGTCCAAGCCCAAGCCTTGGGCATGCTTGGCATTTAAAATTTGGGTAAAAAAGGAACAGCCAGTGAGGTAGCAGGAAATTCTGTAAAAAGTGGAGTTGTGGAAGCCAAGGCTTCTACAAGGGATATTGATGTTGAATGAGTTGAACATGAGGATGGAAAACATGTTTATTGAATTTAACAGGGAGATTGGTGAGCAGTGGGCAGCATTACTTTAGTGCCTAAGAAGGCTAGACATTAATACTCATTGTACAGAAGAAGGACTTCATTTGGATTTTCCAGTAAAGAAAATATACCACAGTACATCGGGGGGCTATATTTAAGTGGCAGCAGGGATGAGGAAAGATAAAAGTCATGGGGTAAGGATAGAGAGTATTTTCCTAGGGTGATAGTAAGAGATAATTATTAAAATGATTACATACCAAAGGCTTTTAGTATATAACTAGAGGCCCAGTGCACGAAATTCGTTCCCTGTGGGGAGGGGGTGGTCCTCAGCCTGGCTTGCGCCCTCTCGCAGTCTGGGAGCCCTTGGGGGATGTCCACCTGATGGCTTAGGCCTGCTCTGGGCCTAAGCTGTCAGTCAGATATCCTTTGTGCTGCCACAGAGACGGGAGGGACTCCTGCCACCGCTGCTGTGCTCACCAGCCATGAGCCTGGCTTCTGGCTGAGCAGCACTCCCTCTGTGGGAGCGCACTAACCACCAGGGGGCAGCTCCTGCATTGAGCGTCTGCCCCTTGGTGGTTAGTGCGTGTCATAGCAACCAGTCGTTCCGCTGTTTGATCAATTTGCATATTAGCCTTTTGTTATATAGGATAATAAAAGGCTAAGCGACCGTCCAACCAGCCGGTAGGTATGACACCTACTGACCACCAGGGGGCAAACGCTCAACACAGGAACTGCTGAGCTGCGGTGGTGACTTCACAGCAGTGGTTTTCAGGTGATGCTCCAGAACCAGAGAAGAGGGAGCCTGATTCCTCGCACTTCTATTATAGAGAAAGGGCGAATAGTGATATTAAAATATTTCTTCTAATTAATTTACTTTCAATATACATGAATCCATGCACTGGGCCACTAGTATATAATAGTTTGCTTACCTAGCACTTTCCATTTTTCAAAGCACTTTACAAATTATAAATTGCATATAGCTATAATATCTAAATGCTGTAATTAGTTGGTATAACACACAGGTGCCTACAGAATATCTGTAGAGATAAAGTGTCTACATAAAAAGTCCATTCAGTACCATTCTGACCCAAAGAATGTCTTGTATTTCAGGAAATATGAAACCATATCAAGTTCTATGGCCCACCATTTTGTTTCCCTTGAACAAGTTATTAAGATTGTAGCTGTGCCCTGGCCAGTTTTTCTCAGTGGTTAGCGCATCAGACAGTGGACAGAAGGATCGCAGGTTCGATTCCTGGTCCAGGGCATGCATACCGTACCTGTACCCGTATTGTGGGTTTGTTCCCCACACTGGTTGGAGCATGTTGAGGCAACCAATCTATGTGTCTGTCTCACATCGATGTTTCTCAATCTCTTTCTCCCTTCCACTCTCTAAAAATCAATGGAAAAAATATCCTTGAGAGAAGATTTTAAAAAAGAGAGATTGTAGTTAGTCTCCAGATAGCTAGACAAAAGTAATCAATTTTGGCTAGCATAATTTTAGAATCAAAGATAATCTTTGTGATATCCCTCCAACTGGGCTCCTAGGAAGTTTACTCGAGTCCACTAGTGTACTTTCAAATACTTAGAAAGATCCCAAATCTTTTGAGCTCAAGTTTTTAATGTTTTGTTTGTTTGCTATTTGAAACTTTACAAACTATCCCAATTTGGTTAATGTATGGTTTGTATTTTTTTTCATCATGAAATTTCTTCCAAACCTAAATTAGTGGATCTCTATGCAACAAATATGTACATAGTCATGGCACAGTCCTGAGAAATGGTGCAGATAAGAGATATGAGTCTGTTTTAAAAAGCTCTATGTGGTTTTGGAGAGAAGACAGTTGTACATATGAAGAAGAAAACAGATTGCATTTATGATGAAGTGCTCTAATGTTCACTGTAGAGTATTATGTGCTGAACATAGAATGGTATCAGTGAGAGACACTATTGAAGCAATGATTGTTTCATGAGTACCCCCTCAGCCAGCCACTGTGTTAGGCACTGGAGATAGTTTCCTGTCTCCCAGTGAAAATGAGCCATTAAAGACTCTTGAGCTAGAGAATGCCATAAAGGTTTTGTTTTTCACCCCACGCCTGTGCATAATGGATGAGTAAAAGGAAACATTGGGAGACAGCAGTGAGTTGGGCATATGTAACAGTCCAAATGTAATATAAGGAGGCCGAGTTATAGGAATGGAAGTAAAAGGATGAAGACCAGAAAGCTAAAAAAGAATTTAAATAACTTGGAGACAGATTCTGTATAGGGTTGAAAATTCTGTATAGGGTTGAAAATGGCCTCATACCCATGTCATTGACCCCTTTATTTTCCTATCACCCCCTCAAAACCCAAACCAGAATGCAGGATAGACCATCTCGTTCGCAGCCTGTCCTTGCTAATGGGAGCACCTCCTTCCCTCACCCTTGTTAGAAGAATTTACATCTTAGACAAGAACTTTAATCCAGGACTACAGATGTGAAGATTGGGGATAGGAGGAGGCAGGGCAGTAAGCTGACAGACTCTTAGAGCTGTCTGCCTTCACCAAGTTGCTCTTCTCAGAACATTTCATTCATCTTATTCAACCCATAAATATTAGTGAGTACATACATATTCAGGCACATTTAGGAATGTAGCAAGGAACAAGTTGC